TTTTCTTTTTATTGTCACTGATAAATACAACTTTTCAAGGCTCATTTCAATGTTTCACTTTTCCCATGCTGGTTTAGATCAAAGCAGTTTGAGAGACTTCTTCCCAACCCTCTTCCCCTAACCCCCACTCCTGTGCCCCCTCCTCACACTTCAACCCCCTAAACCACGTCTGCCCTGCTCCCGCTAATCATTGGTGGTCTCCTGACTGCTAACAGTAATTGATTAGGGAGCGGAGTACTGGTGGGGAAATAGAGGGGAAAGTTCAAACCACGAGTTCTCAAGGTCACTGCCCTCTTCTTCCCTCCACTAAACTCCTTTTCTCATGCTATTAAATGTCAGCCACAAGGGAAGCTGCAAATATCTGGCACACTCTTGAAGTCTGACTTCCACGAATGTTTCAATGGTGGAAAACCGAAAGATATGCTCATAAATAAGAGCCTGTTATGATTGGAAGACACTGAAGTCGAAATTCTGACTGTCCAAGGCAAGGTCGTGTTGGCTGCACGCATGTCCGTACTTTCCGGATCTTGATGGTGAAGGAAAGTTGACTGTCACAGCAAGTGTAGAACATGTCTCCCACGTAGAGAGAGGTGAGGGTGTTCTCCATGTTAATAGCTAAGAACCAGTGTTGATTTTGGCTTAATGGTTTTCTGGGGGCCATCCAGACTCACTTAAAGAAGACTCGGACACTCCAGGACCTATGTATGAGCATTTAGAGCAGCTCAGCAAAAAAAACATGACGTCCATTAAGGCAGAATCCAAAGAGAGAATCAAACAAATCCCGTTGAGGCCGAGTTAAACACAAATGATTGGGATTGTTTGAAATTTACATCGTCACTGTGGGAGTAGAGACTAATGGCTTTCTGTGTCTGTCTCACTCATTTCTCCGAGAAGTGGCCCCAGGCAATAGCAGCTGTGTTGCATTCATCTTTGTCTGCTGTATCTGTCTCCTAGCATTTCTCATAAGGATCTCAGTTTTCATAAATTTGTCAGTTTGGTCGCTTGATTTTCAGCTGATTTCAAACATTAGCCATAAAACGAGGATGGGGACATTAATCTTACATACATCTCTTTAGGTTCCTTACCCCTTGGATATATTAAAACAGCATGTAAAAAGGATTATGACAAAACTTGATACATTTTCAAATAGTGGATCAAGATATCACGAAAGCCGGCTTTAAAGGGCTGTGAATGAAAAGCACTTGTGTGGTTTAACTCTATACAGACTTGTGAATACCAGAGGAGGTGGTTCTAAGTAGTGGTGGGCTCTGGTTTATGTTTCTGTCCTGTCAGTGTTGGAAGCCTGCTCTCTTCTGCCCTCCTCTGTTGGGCATGCAGTATTGATTGCTAGTATAGATTCAATTTAAATTGCTTCATATATGGTGCGATCTATTTCTAACTGCCTCATATTTGATAAAATAGCTTTCATCTGTTCCCTGGTTGCAACATTCCTCACAGCGCCAATTGTGCTTTGACCGCTGTGAACTTCTTCCGTTTCTTTGCTTTGTTGTGGTATATTCTAATGTGAGGTAAACTGAACACACATAGTTTCCCATTAGCATCAGAGATGTTATGGGAGGAAAGCCACCCAGTCTCTAGACTAATGCTGGTATCTCCCTGAAAGTACCGACATGTGCTGCAAGTAAAATAAACAAGTTACCCATCTCATGTTATGTTAGAAAATAAATCAATACATATGATACTATATTATGTTATAATAATTCCTGTCATTGCCAAACAAAACTGAATACAGTTATATTGGCCAGTGCATGAATTACTACCACAGGGCAGATTTTTGTTTTTAGTACCGCGCCTACTGCATGAAAACAGCTGGGATCGGCTCCAGGACGCCCCTGACCCTCGTGAAGCGGTTCGGATAATGGATGGATGAAAATAAAGTGCAGATACAAGTCCAATTCAGGCAGACATATTTAGGACCGCTTATTCGATTCAGGGTCACAGGGAGATAGAGCCTTCGCTGGAACAAAAGTCTTTAAATTTACAGTCAATCAACAACAGTATCTTGCTGTTTTTTTTTTTAAATGCATTCCGCTTCTTTATTAAGTCCCTAGTGAGGGGAAAATGAAGCTTCAAATTTGCTTCATGAACCAGGTGTGTGTGTGTGTATGTGTGTGTGTGTGTGTGTGTGTGTGTGTGTGTGTGTGTGTGTGTGTGTGTGTGTATATATATATATATTGCTCCTCTAGATAGCACTGTTGGTTTAAACAAAGGGGTCTATGAATTGGCAGGCCAGTGTGCTCTCAGTTAACAGATAGTTCTGAGGAGTCACAAAAATACAGCAACTGGTTCATGAAGCAAATTTGAAGCTTCATTATCCCATCACTTTCATCGCCTTGGATTAAAATTAGCCACAGGGATGGCAAAGACACAGAATGGTACATGGTTTGGCGAATAGAAGACGAAAGACACAAAGATGGGAACACCAGATATTTATCAAACTATCCAATATTGCGCCATTTCTCAGTCAATATCTCAAAATGGGCTGTTGGAGGTACACTTTAACCTGCTACTTGTTTTCAGTTGGCACAGACAGACAAATAGTGTTATGTGCATACATGTTGTTGGATGCATTTGATAGGCGTAAATTGGAAAACCATACAGCAGACAACAGGATTGGGCATGCAGGATCTGGAGCCATAGGGGTTCTTCAGCCAAGCATCCGCCGGCCCATATACTCACCTTTTTCCAAACGCACTGTTAAACTGCCAGTGGATGACCCACGGGGAAACTGAACACATCCTGGTAAGAGTAATCATTTCACAAGTCCACACAAGACAATAAAAATTTGTTAAAATGAATTAAACCCCATTGCAAATGTTTTTGCAGAGGTAACAAACTTGCAAGACTAAAAAAAGTTGAAATCTCTCACTAGAACTTAAAAGCAGCCATTAGTTTGTAAAATGTATTTAAAGTTATACATTTGAAATATTTACAATTTCATCTATTGCTTTGCATTTTGCAGCCCTTTGAAAGACATGTTGTCCACATGATGATGATGATGTTTAACATATCAAAGGACACTCCTTAGACCCTCCATTCATTTCAAGTGCTCACCTGGCCAGCAGTGTGTAAAATGTTTTCCCTTAGCAACCCATGTTGCAAATTAGTGTTTGGGTTGCAGATGCATTTTCTCAGGGGTCTGTTAAACTGGTAAGCAACCAGCTTAGTGTTCGGGAGTCATTGTCATGGAAAGTCCAGTTGCGAATTCCAAGTTACGGCAGACTCGTTGGTTTCCAAGGAGAACTCAGCATCTTTCTCATAGGGTCTTCTGTTGTTCATGCTTGCAAGGTGAAGAGCGGGATCAGTCGCAGGAACAGGAGATGATAAATGGTGACACTCTACGTGTGGATCAAAGGGGATCGGGAAATCAGGAGACTATCCACATTACAGTGGAGGATCTGGGGATAGTTAACACCAGTTTTGGTATGTTTGAGGAAGAGCCCGTGACTCCGAGAAGCAACATGGGACGCTCGGCTAGCTCTGTGTCAGCCTGCCCAAGGGTACGAAAGAAGAAGCCACTGCAGCATCTCTCGTCTCTGCCCCTTCAGCCTCGAGCTCGACACAATCACACTCCTAACAGCTGGGAAGAGAATGAAGATGAAGAAGAGGACCACTTTCTGTTTGGAAGAGGCAATGACAGCACCCCTGCTTCTGGGAGCCTCTCGGTGCATTGTGAGATCAATTTGATTCCACCCACTCCATCTGATGTTATTGATGAGGATCAGTTCTTTGATATGAATTCAGAGGAGAGTGTGGTCTACTCTGCAGAGAGTGATGGTTGCTTTGCTGCCAGAGACAATGAGGAGAATGAGGCGACGCTGGGATTGACAATGACTGAGAGTGAGATGATTGTTGTGGATTCCGAGGAGGACAACCGCGGTCAGTTGGCAGAAGAGATGGAGACAATAAAAGATAAAGATGGGGATGAACAAAAACCAAAGGCAAATTTATTTCATGTTTATCAGGTGGATCCCCTACCCATGCTCCCCCAGAAACGTGAGTTTAACTCTGTTAACAACTCCGGTGATTTTCAAGAGTAGAGCAACTATTATTCAAGTTCAATGTATGTCTTATAATGAGGCAGCACTGCGAATTTTAGCCAAACCACAACACGAAGCACGAAACCTATAAAGTGAGCCTGTTACAAGCCATAGCAGTAAGCTACCTTTGCTCTTTACACGCAAGTCAGATTAAGTGCTTTATTATTACAACTGCATATTCTGATCGTCGCGACTTATTCCACAAAACAGTATTCAAAATTTAGCTTGACAGTTGTACAGCATTGTGATTATTTCCAGTCATGCAGAACTGCACAACATCGTGGGAGGTCTTTCTACAACTACACGATAATATAGCTAAATAACCCCCCACTGAGGTTAGGTTGTCATTGTGCAAAATGACACAAAAATTACTTCCGCAACACTTTTCAATGTGCTAAAGCAGACTACATCTTGATAGTGCACTTTCATAACAGATGCCGCTGTAACATAGCTCTTTACAGAACATTTAACATAAAGAAACAAAAGGAATACGTTTTTGGGTATATTAAGATCCAATAGCATTTTTGCTTGGTTATTCAGGGCAATTTCTTTGTGAATAATGCATAAAATTAATTTTACTGTCAAGTGTATAGAGGGGTGGGATCTATAGGGTGCCAATTCAAATCGGAGTTGTTCAGTTTGAAAGGAAGTCTCTACTCAAATCTTTGTCGCAAAAAAAGTAATCAGCACAAATGTTTACTAAGAGACACTAGAAATATGACAAGTGCAGCAGACTGCGTTTTTGTTCACTGTACAGGGTTACAAGCAGAGCAGATGTCATGTAGCAGATGGTGGAAGGCTGAGGTTACAACCATTAGAGACTTGACTTGAAGATTGTCTCGAAAGAACATCACCAATAAGAATTTTAGTAATAGTAGCAGTAGGTTTCATTTGAACCAGGCTGAACATTTCTGTATTTTTTTTTTTAATGTCTTTCAGGCAACTTCAATAGTGGAATACAACTTTTGCCTTTCACTGAGCTCAACTTGGGTGAGTTTCTATTCGGACACATGTACTAAGTAAGTATTTGGATTCAAATTTAAAAGGTCTGTTTCCATTTGGAACAAGAGAGGCGAGGTAAACGGCACCAGATGATGGTCGACATCATCCAGCTGTTGAGCTGCGTTCCCCATTCAGATGAAATTGCAGTCATTATGAGACATCACTACGTTGCCTCCAACACCTCCTTTGGGAGTAGCAGAAGTTCCCCTTTGTTTGAATCCCATTTTAGTTATTGTGCGTGTAGTCCCAATGCTTGGCTCGAACGATGGTTCCCAGGTTTTGAGTTCCTGTGACTCAGCATGCTCTCCTCCCTCAGTTGTCACTCAATGAGCGCTTTCTTTTCTCTCAAATCAGCGGAGGGTAATGATACTGAAAGAAAGCCATCATGTAAATCCACTAACAGGGATTCTCCATCATCAGGGAATAAGTGACTCTATTGCATGGCATGGTAACGGCACAGAAATGGCAAATATCAATCACACAATCATATTTAAAAAAAAAAAAAAGAAAGATTTAGGTTAGGGCGGCCCAGTGGTCCAGTGGTTAGCGCATCGACCTCACAGTGCAGAGGTACCGGGTTCAATTCCAGCGCCGGCCTCCCTGTGTGGAGTTTGCATGTTCTCCCCCCTGCGTGGGTTTTCTCCGGGTACTCCGGTTTCCTCCCACATTCCAAAGACATGCATGTCAGGCGGATTGAACACTCTAAATTGTCCCTAGGTGAGGCTGTGAGCGCGGATGGTTGTTCGTCTCTGTGTGCCCTGCGATTGGCTGCCAACTGGTTCAGGGTGTCCCCCGCCTACTGCCCGAAGATGGCTGGCATAGGCTCCAGCACCCCCAGCAACCCTTGTGAGGATTAAGCGGATCAGAAAATGGATGGATGGATGGATTTAGGTTAAAAAAAGAGGATCCAAAATGATTTTACCCATAATTTCAAATGCAATATTTGAAGCATTTACACAAACACCAACAAATAGAAGAAGGCATCGGCATTGAATTTCAAAATTAAGATTGCATATACATTTTAGGACGAGCTGTATATTGAAGATTTTCCCATCAGTATTCCTTTGCCATATACCTGTACGGTATAGTATTGTCATCGGCATGTGCTTGTTTGTCAGAAGGATGATGCAAAAATTGCTTCTATTCTAAAGTATTTGCATAAAACCGTTGCAATTGTCAATAATACACCACCTGATGTACATTCAACATTAACTTCTCAGGGGATGATCGTATTGGCTCACTTCAGGTTCCTATTTTACAGAGATGGGTATTTATGACAACTTGGTGCTGATCCATTAACTGCATCAATCAAAGTGTTGGGTGTCTTTGGATGGATGACATATCACACAGCTGATTGCTCAATGTGTCTGTGTGTATTGGCAAGGACACAATGCTTACTAGTTTCGGGACTCAGACTTCACCCCTGCTTTTGACATGTCCTGACGGAATCTGCACCGTCTGGGAACAACGGCCATCTCTCCTTTGCTACAAATTTCACCCTATAAGGCAACAACGAACTCTGTCGCTGAGCCTGCCCAAAATGTTCTGTCCTCTTGTTTTAGTTGGACCCACACAAGATAGAGACTGTGTGAAGTCTGTGCATGACTGTGGTAGGGCTGTGGGTGGATAGCTACCCTCCATTAGCTATTTCTCCATCTTGAGATCATTGTGCAATGCTTGGTGAAAAGAAGTCATAGAGCAAGACAGGAAAGGGAGTTTCAAAGAATTTTTCACCCAGTCTGGTCTGAGGTGACCCAACAGAGGAGAGAAGGCATGTGGTTTTCTTGGCTGTCGATTTGTCGTTTTGACCTTGCTTAAGACTCCCAGGCCGGCCAGGTGATGAAGAGAGTGCCAGCTAACTTGCCCCCTCCTCCTCTTCCTCCTGTCTCTCCTGGACCCAGACCAGATTCCTTCGCTGACACACATAAACCCATTAAGTGTCTTATCTGATGCTAACCACATCTGCCCTCCTACCTACGTCAAACTAGCCTTTCAAGAATCCTGAAATTGAAAACGCGTTCCGTAAATTAGGCTGAATAAATTGTTATGCAAACAATTCAAAAGGCTACTGTTCACTGAGTTATAAAAGTTGGACTCTCACTTCTTCAAGCAAAATAACATTTCGGCTTGGAATCATATTGGCATATTATCTTCATTGGCAGAATTGATTTCTTTTTACAATTACTGTATATGCTCTGTGGCAATAGTTTGGCGCAGACCATTTTCTGTTTTAGCATGACTGTGCCCAGTGCACAATGCAAAGTTCAAAAAGATATGCTCGCAAAAGTTTAGTGTTCAAAAAAGTACCCCAAAATCATGACATGCTGTTCGAATGAATAACAACAGAGATTGTGAGCCAAAACACCCTCAGTGAACTCTGTCCTCGAAAACGTTCTTCTGGATGAATGTATTCAAAATCCCATGGACACGCAATCTTACAGTAATTTGTTGCTAGTTAGGGCTCAATATTTGTTAAATATAAGCAGACGTTGGCAAACCTGCCAACGTGATGTCATGCAATAAACGGCGATCCAAAAACGAAAGTGTAGTGCACAACATTAGAGGCACAATTTTCAGGAAAAGTCATGACATCACATATTGTATGATTATGCACTAGAAAGTTTCATTTTTTGCAATATGTTTTGGGGGGGGAAAAGATGCGTTAGCCCTTGAAAGGTTTATTTGCCTGAAAAATGTTGGTTGGACTCTTGGTTGTTTTGATAGCAGACAAATATGACACTTGCAAGCTGACCATGTGATATTTGCAAAATAAAGGAATGTACAGTTCTCTGGGAAGGAATTTGAGTTGTCAAAAAAGTACGTCTTCAGCTAGATGCTATTTTCTGACTTGCTGCCAAGCAATCCCATCAAGCGTTGTCTCTCGGCGGCAATGAATTGTCTACAAACAACATAAAAAAAAGAGGAAAAAAAGACACAAAACACCAAAATGACATATACTTGCTTTCTCCCTCATGTTTTTCTTAACTGAGTAACCAGAATGCATTTATTCATGAAAATGTTTGTTTGTACTTATACATAGATGACTTGAGCAACGATGATGTGAGCTGCTCTGGCATGCTGAAGACTGCTATTGGCCTGCCTCCTCTTCAGGCTCCCACAATGGATGCATTTACTCACCAGAGGGTATGAAGCCCAAGCAGTGCATCTCTTTGCCCATAACGTCACGTTCTCTGTACAGACCCACGCATGTTCCGCTAATTGTACTTGTCATTGGGACAGCCAGGTCACATTTGCACAACTTGGCCAGACAAGGAAACTCATCCTCGTTCTGGGCTCCCAACAGCAACAGGCTCCGCGTGGTAGTGTTTGCAAATAATCACAAAACCTCTTTTTCTCGTGGATTAATTGCCTGCTCACCTTCCTCTCAGACTTGATCAAAACCCTGCTGAAATCTGCCTTCTTTTACCCCTACTTGTTAGTACGCACTTAATAAATCGGCGCATTAGAAGAAATAGGAGACAATTCAATTCAATTAATATTCTGGACTAATTTCATTGCACTCACTCATTTGCTGCCAATGGCTTTGCCTCCTCCTCTAGCCAAAAGCATGTGCAACTAAATGTCATTGTGAGGTAGTTAAGTCATCAAGTTGACTAGTCTGTACAACCCTTGTCTGTTTTGTTAATGTTGTAGAGGCCAATGACTCGCTCCTGCAGTTTAGTGGACACACAAACTGGGAGTGCCACTTTTCACACATTAACCCAGACGTCAGACCAGCAACAGCAAGGGAAGAGGTCGCCACGGCAACGACGTACAACCGTTGGTGGGTCTTTAGTGGTTTTATTAAAGACCAATTATTTCATGACACCATATTTAAAACATGGCACTGTGTGTTCTTTCAGCATCATGTGTTCCCAAATCTAAGGACCAGAATGGAAAATTCCCCGAGAAGGTACTGTGTACCATCAGTGCAGAGCCTTCAGGGTGGCATCAGCACACGACCAAGATCCACTGCAATTACAGATTATGTTCTGTTTATATTTCCCACCTCTCTGGAGCTCTCAAAGCAACGGCTCTGAAAATAGTGTCAGTATTTCAATCTTACTGTCTAGGTAGGATTTGGAGAATACTGGTACAATTTTCTGCATCAGCAAGATGTGCGCACAAATTTTAAATATGCTCTGCAATTCTTATCTCAAATCATGATCGCCACTTGCATGTGATTTATGATAGCTGAGTGTGGGGTGTTTTTATTTTGTTCTTCTTATAATTATTATGATCCATCCATCCATCCATCCATCCATTTTCCGATCCGCTTATCCTCACAAGAGTCACGGGATTGCTTGAGCCAATCCCAGCTGTCTTCGGGCAGTAGGTGGGGGACGCCCTGAACCAGTTGCCAGCCAATCGCAGGGAACACAGAGACGCACAACCATCCACGCTCACACTAGAAACCGAGGGACATTTTAGAGTGTTCAATCAGCCTGCCATGTGTGTTTTGGGAATGTGCGAGGAAACCAGAATACCTATTATTATTGTTTTTATTATTATTATTATTATTACAGTTATTTACATTTGAATCAAAAACACAACCATTTTTTCACACAAGCATTTTTTATGTGAGTGAAAGTTTTGGAACATGTGAATAACAGGTGCGTTGTTGCCCATGTGTGTCCTATTACGATAATTATTCAAACAATACTCAGTCTCAGACTCAGGCTCTGCCCGTAAAGAATGAATGTATACAAGTTAAAGGTGTAACCACAAAGCACAGTACTGTTTATTGATGAAAATGTGAAAAATAATTGTGAAGCAGAGGGAAGATGGAAACTCAATCAGAGCCATTTCACAAACATTTGGAATGTCCTGAAAAAAACCCCACTGGGGTACTAACAGATGTCAAATGAGTATACAATGGAAAACAACAGTGGTTTATGATAGAAACAATGGGAAAGCCGTAAATGAGGGCCCAAAACATGGAGTGACATCAGTAACAACCTCGAAAGGGCAGGAGTGTAATTGTCAGCATCTAGGGGTTGCAGAAGACGTCATGAACAATAGCAGGCTAAAGCACAAGACGCAAAGAAGAGGTGGAAAGCCAGCTGGAGTTTGACCAACGCAAAAGTAGAGATAAGCATTAGAAAAATCTGAAGGAAAGTTGTGTGGACTGATGAGACAAAGATGAACCCTTACCAAGGTGACAAGAAGGCTAATGATTCGCTGAACAAAAGGATCTGTTTATGATCCAAAATATCAACAACCACCAACAACTAATCTGTGAAATTTGGTGCTGATAATTTTATGCCTCGTGCTTGTCGAGCTTCTTGTGCCACTTGAATCATAAATCTTCAATGATGGCAGCAGCACAATTATCATTTTGTCAATCAAACAAGTGAGAGTGCCAGATCCTTCATTATGCAAAAAGACCCATAATACATGGCCAAAACAACAAAGAATTTCAATAGGGCAAAGAAGTGGACCTTAGCCCGATAGAGCGCACAGTTCACATGGTAAACAGGAGGTAAGTAAGCCCCAAAAGAAACAAGAACTTAAAGGGACTGTGGTTAGAGCCCAGAAAAGTACTGGAAAAGAAAAATACAAATGTTTGGTGGGGTCAGTGAGTCACAATCTCGATGGAATTGTTGCAAGCAAAAATATTTGCAATTACATTTCTGCCTTGAGATACAAGTCACCCGACGCACGAGTGTTTTCCAAGATCTGACCTTCTTGCTTTGACTTGCTTGCGCAAAATTGAGATACAATTTTGCGCAAGCGAGTCAATTAAACGTACCTCGAGGAACCCGTGTACATACCGGATTAAGACTTGTTCATTTTTTTTTCTATTCTAAGTGTATTGGTTGCAATACTTATGATAAACAAAAAAGTTTTTTTTGTGGAAAAACACCGCTATCTTCAAGGCTTTGTATCAGATCCAGATGGAAATACCTGGAAATGAAGGCTGAGCTGTTGATCTCGTTCATCATTCATCTTTTGACGTGAAACCCAAAGATTTTCAGTCGACAGCCAAATGTCCTGATACTTTTGCACTGTATTGTTGATACATTCATCTGTATTCCTCAAACAGCCGCAGTTCATCTCACAAATTCACAAAGCAAACAGGCCATTGAATGGAATGACAACTATGCAATCATTTTAACTGTGTTGGACATTATCCACAGGTTGGAGAGCGCATTAGTCATGAGTCGCAGGTATGAACACTCTCCTCTTCACCCTCCAGACTGTGAACAGGCAGGAGGCCAAATCTCTCAGGGAGCGAAACACAAATGAGATGTGCCAGTGGTTCACAAGCATTGGACTGCAAAAATGTCTCCCTTTCATCCAAGGTAAGACGCGAGCTTCGGTGGTCTGCCGCCCCTACCGGCCTTGTGGCTGCAAAACAAAGCCAGAGAGTGAAATAACTTCTTCAAAGAAAAGCTCTGGTGTGATAGATTTAGATTTATTACAGCGTTTAGAGCATGCAACCAAAACTTGAATTCCTGAATAACAACTCATCCAAGCCTTTGTGATAATACAATAGATTTGCTCCAGTTCATTTTCCTTCCAATTTAAAATCTGATGCCACAGTATATTAATAGAGTTTCATTTATTATTAGAAAAATATCACATTGCAAAATGTTTTTAGGGAGACTGGAACCAATTAAAATTCATTTCCAAATATTTTTTGGTACGAGCCACGGAATGAATCAAATTCATATCCCAAGGCACCATTGTACACAATATATATCAACTATTAAATTATATTTTACGACAAAACAATGATACTATTGAAGTAAAGCGAGCATATTTTAAAGCCAGATCACAATGACATTTCATTCCATGGAAATGGATCAAAAATATGTTTGCTTTTAGGCATTTAAATCAAAGGAGTATTGATTAATGTTTAAAATATTGGCGAAATGGAATGGAGTCATGGCCCCTCCTCACGTGCATTGCATAAAACGTTTGTCTTGCAGAGGCAAATTTGTGTGGAGCAGACATAGCAGCAATAGATGTCGACATCCTGGACACCCTTCACATCAACACGCTAAAAGACAAGGAGCAGCTCCTGTCTGCCATATATAATGAGCTGCACCCACCCAGCAATTCTGGTACGCTTCCAAAGCAACATGATTAATGTTTCAACACATTTGAAGTGTACTGAATGTTTACCTCCCGGTAGAATTCTTCGGCTATAATCATGTCGAAACGTTCATGCCAATGATCAAATCCAAGTCCGCCCCACACGTCAACTGTCTGAGCATGAACCGACCGTCCCTTAAAATAAGGTACAGTCCGTCTCATTAACCCCAATGCACATTTACATCGTCAACCTATTTCTATATGGTTTTTTTTTCCTTTTCTTTTTTAATCCCACTCCCAGACACAACAACCAAAACTCCATGGCACAAAGGTTACAGTTGATCGAGGTGACTATTAATGGTGAGTAATGGATGGGGTCGGAAGTCTTAGCTGATGAAATTGAGAAGATTGGAAATTGCAGACCTTTTGAGCCTTGATACTGTACATATATCAAGGGTATATTTATATATACCTGTATACACCAATCTCTGGGTTGGGAAATGACCATTCTCCCACCGAGCCATGCCATGCGAGCAAATTTTCTTCAATATAAAAATATATGTTGATTGTTGACAACGTGTTTCCAAGTTTTTGTTTGGTGGAACCCCTGAGATAACCTTGGCCATTCCATGGCTCCTCCGTAAGGATAAAAGTCTAGCTCCGCCACTGCCTGCCCCCTTGAGAGTCATACACTGATTCTGAAAGCACCCCCATTTCTGATAGCGTACATTAAATGTTAGACTGGGATACTGTTACGGATATCATACAGAATCGCAATTTGTAGAGAGCTGACAAGAAAAATGGCATTGTATTCATTGTGGTTGTGTGATTCAGGAGGACAATATTCTCTGTCGATATGAATTGTAATTAAAGGAAACAGCATGGTAGTTTAGTGGTTAGCACATCCGCCTCACAGTGAGGTTTGGAGTTCAAATCTCGTCTCTGGGCTTCCTGGGTGGAGTTTGCATGCTGCTGGTGTGGAATTTCTCAGAGTACACTGGCTTTGTTCCACATTCTGAAATATGCATGCAATTTATTTGAAATCATCCATGTGTGGTAATGCAAATGTGAGTAGTTCAGTGTCTGCATTGGCCCTGCGACTGGCTGGTGACCGGGCCAGGCTGCAACCCACCCGTCCTCCAAAGACATAAACGTATTGTGCTCGAATAAACTTGTTGTGTGTCGTAGCATCAGAGCGAATATTGCACCTCAGAACGCCAAAAGAAACAACAGTGGGCAAAATAATGGACTCCTGTCTCAGAATGTTGGGAATGACCGATGACAGAAGCCTTTTCTCACTGAAAGAGCAGAGAGGTATACCAATAAAGAGCTCACAACACATTAGAGTTTCATCACAACATCATGAAGACATCATTTGCACATCTGCTTTCATTTCCAGAATCCACGGCTGAGCTCTCCCAGGATCAGCAGATTGGGACTCTGCTGACAACATTGTCTGACAGGCAGCTGGAGCTACATTTGTCTAAAAGGGTAAGGTGTATTTATTTTTTTAGCACCATCAAGTGTGTTATTAAAACAAAAAACAAAAAATCGTCAATGGTTTTCCACTGCAGAATACCGCTACCCAAAAGAGTCCAGAAGCCAAAAGCTCTACTGGAATGCCAAAGGAGGAGAGAATCAAGGAGCTGAACCTGCAGGTGGAGTCACTACAAAATGTCATCCTCCAGGTTAGGGAGATGCTCTACATTGCATGTGTTTGTAGTCATTGAAATATACTGTGTAAACCCATTGACCTCTCTCGGCCTCAAGGTGCAGGAACTCCACCTAGACCTGGTAGCATTTTGCTCGGAGTTGAAGAATTCAGACGGAGATGGGAATTTAGAAATGCTTGGTTCAGCTGAGCTGGAGCAGAAACTGGAACTGCTCCAAAGGAGACTGAGCGACAAGAAGCAAAGTCTTCAGACCCTCCGAGATCACATCAACAACCCTGCTGCTCACAGGAAGAAGTAATATCTTCGACCACGACAATTTGAATTTAAAACATTTAAAACATAATTCAAACAAAGTGCACACTTGAGTCTTTACGTCTAATACAAGCACCAATACGTGAGCGGTGTCAAAGATTTGTATTTGGTTTTGACTGACATTGCCAAAGAGGCAGAAATCAATCATGCATTATGATAGTTTGTGCATTTTACCCCTTACATGTAACTAGTAAGGCCACAGAATACTTGAAAATGTACTCAGCATAATGCAGTGAAGTTGGGCATTACTGCATACTACACAAACAAAACTATATATATTGCTGTTCCTCTGTGAGTGTAATGACAATTGGGAATTATCTTGAACCTCTATACATGCCACAATCGGTCTCACACAATGTCGCCATGTCTTTCTAACTTGTACGTGTGCATTCGGTGACCGTAGATGGACTTTATGTTTCCTTCCAGACAGCTGGATGTTCGTCTTTTGGAGAAAATGAAGCTCAACTGCCAGGTGTTTAAAGAGGAAATCTCCATGGTGCATCTCAACCGACAGGTGGCACATCTCCAAAATGTCCTGCAGGACAGTTATATGAAGGTACTTTGCTTAGACATTGAATACAGTTTTGCCCCAGCCTGGACTGGCGTAATGTTGACATTCAAACAAGTTCAGTAGGCAGCTTGAGAAACAGCCAGACAGTTGGAATGTGGGAAAATTGTTTAGTGTGGGAATAATAATATTTTGATTGCTAAAAATGTTCTGAGATTGATACGCACAATCAACTCGCAGCACAGTTTTACCGCCACCAAGCAAGAAAAGCAAAGGAGCAAGATTTTAATTGTCGTGATCAAGTTTGAGTTAGTTAGCCGGTTGGAAAACATCAGTTGGAATGTATTTTTACATTTTTGCCTCTTTGAGTCTCATATGGCGAATTTTACCCCATGAACAAAATGGAAATGGCACAGTCTAGTCGACGCATTCACTATATGCCATCAACGGATTCTTTCAAAGTGTCCAGATTCAAGAACTGCATCCCTGTTCATTTGTAGCTTTTTACGTCGTTCTCCATGTAGCAAGAAGTGCTAACTCACAAACAGATGGACAAAACAAATGCAAAGCGGTTTGATTTTTGAAATAATTTTTGGGTTAAAAACTAACAGTGATGGAGACTGAGTTGACATCCATTCTAGTTTAACATTGTGAAGGTCTCGTATTGTCCTTTAGGTAACAATAGCTCTGAGACATGGAAAGTATAAATGACTTCCTGGTGTCAAGGTCAGTCACCCTTTTATGGCCATCATCTTTGATCCTATCACATCCGTTCTTGTGAGGGACAACACAATGCCACATTAACTTCACTGCGCTGTTGGCTAAGGCCGTGCATGGTGTCCTGTTGTGGGTATGGGCACGCACAAGCCAGAAAGTTCTGGATGGTCATGCACTCGGTCTGAGAAAATTGTTGTTTTAGCGCCGGCGCTGACACCCGAGAGCCTGTGACCGTACCAACAATGGAATGTGTGCGACAAAAGGCACTGGGAGAGCGCCATGGAGAAATGGGTCAGGATGTGTAAAACTATCTCCATCTATCCCCGGAGGAGCCCACTTCTTTTTAATGTGGGCCTTTTATCCCGCTGGAGAAGGCCTAACAAGGTGCCATGAAAGGACACACGCGGCTTCGGCTTTGAATGGTGCCCCGTGTCACGTTGCTGCCCCAGGGCCACGCTTTTTTAGGTGCCGAGCTTGTGGGAAAAGCAGCAGCGTTAATGTTTATCATATGACCTAATCAGAGTTAACACACAGGTCAGGATTGAGGAGCAGCCTGGGAACTGATGGAGCCACCGCTCTAATAAGGAGCAGACCGCCCCGTATTCGGTCTCGTAGGCTGCCCCGCATTGCAGACAATAAGGAAATATTTCATCATTGGCTGTCTAATCTCCAAGGATCTCTTCCAACTGGCGAGCATCAATAAAGCAGCCGAGAGGGAAGGGAAAGAGAAACAGAGGGAAGAGCGCAAAGGGCGGAGGGGAAGCACAACAAATTGCGGAAATGATTTTAACTAAGCGTCTTAGCTCGGACAAAAACTTCAGACAGCCTCTTGAAGAGGGGAAATTGAAAGAATAACGACTACACTTGTCTCCGCTTGCTCATGGGCTTTTGTTTTGAGAGGAACCTGCGTGTACTTGCTTGTGCATACCCTGTGGTTTGTATTTACACAATGACAGGCAAATTACACTAAAGTGGAATCCTCTGAAGTTAAATACCTCAAACGCTGTAGAATTTGGAGTCCAAACAACATTTCCTTAAAAAAATAAAATAAATAATAATAATAATAATAATTCTACAAATTTTGTGACACTTCAGTATATTGGGCGGCAAAAGTATTAGTGTTCATTTCTTTGGCCAGAAATTGAATTTAATGTGACATGGGAAAAGATGCTAAGTAATACACTTAAGAGAATATCAGTCACAATTACATTTTTTTTTAAAAAATCATTGTTACCTATATATAAATAGGCTGTACCATACATGCAAGTGTCATGACCGATATCTTGCAATGGCAATCATCTTAAGGAAGGAATGTAACATACCGATGACAAATTGACAGATTATAAAAGTCAAATTGGGTGCATGAATGCAGTCACAATACTTAATTAAGTTCAACAACAAGCATAAAATGCCACTGGATGCTGCTCTGTCAACACTTTCTTCTTCTGTAACCATTTTGTGTTCATCAAAAGGCTTTATGATGTTAACAGTTTGAGGCTCCAGTTCATTCTTTTACTTCACATTTTTTCATATTGCAAATATCTTTTTTTTTTTTTCTAATTACAACATAATTAGAAAAAGAAAATGATGTTTGACGTTCGAGGTTCCAATCTACACTGTAAGCAGTGTCTTTTATGGTCAATGCCCGGTTTTCTTTTCTAGCCAGGATGAGTCTGTGAGCTGGTAAACACTGTCTTCATTGTCTGCCCTGTTAAGAGACTGATTTGTGACACTGGATCATACTAAATATTTTTCACTTTTAATATCAGAGGGCACATTGCGCTTAAAAAAAAAAAAAGAAAAAGAAAAAGAAAAAAAATAGTATCGTTTTTAAAGGTCTATTTAGGTCAACAAGTTCCAGTCATTTTTCAAAAGTCTGCTAGAGCCAACCATTTCTCTTCGGTGATTGCCTTTAGTAATATTTCAATCTTGAGTCTACGTGGCCTGTGGCTTCCCTCACTGGGTTAGGGTTTGATCAAATCATGCGGATGAACATGAGGAAAAATCCTTCCATTTTTGGGCGTCGGTCCAACATCGAGGGCAACTAAGAGAAAATGATGCGCATTAGCGTGTACTTTTCAAGGAGCTTCAGATGCATTTCTGTGGCTATAGCCTGTCTGGCTCTCATGTCTGAGGCGAGAGAAGCTATTGTTTTCGACCCTCGACCCTGGTGAAGCGACATCAATTGCTGTAACACATTCACACGCCTAACAGAGAAAGGGTGGGGGTAGGACGCCAAGAAGTTGGAAAAGGGAACTGAGGAATTCAGCGGTCAGGCTCACAAGTTATTTCTGATCCCCACAAGCTACTTGTGGTGTGATGTCCTCAAACGCTAATCATCACGTCTTGGTGGTCTGCAAGCTTTGACGCACACTTACTCTTATCTTCCGGGGACCTCGCCACAGCGGTAGTCTGCCTCTAAGAACATAGAGTTGCGTATCTAGGGAAATTACATATATGAGAGATATAAATCACAACCTTTTGACAATGTTCACATTTGATGACGTGATTTAAAGCATGTGCAGTGTTTTTGCATATGCACTTACGTTATTTTGCAAGTGTGACCATATACGTCCCAGTGGCAGGCTAAAGATGTGCACTTTATTGTCCATTGAAAAGAAAAAATGGGAGCATCAAATAATGTTCTTATATAACCTTAGCTTTGATGTACCTGTATTGCATTACAAGGAATGTTTGAACACAACAACATTTTAAATGAAAATGTGATTTACCTATGGCATGCATGTTTACATTCATCCTCCATTTTATTCTATAAAATTGCATACTAAAATACAAAAGCAGTATAAGGTTGATTTTAAACAATCTTTTTATTATTATTGTAGTGGGCAGCTCAGTGGAGTAGTGGTTAATTTAATTTAATTTTTCTTAATATCACTTGCATTTTATTATATCTAATAGTGTATATGTGTCATAGCATGTGAATGTTTACAATGTAAAGTGACAGTTTTTTTCTGCATTCAGGAGAAAGCCCAGAGAAAGAAAATGACCATTGGTAACTTGAGCCAGCTGGTGTCACCACAGTCTCCCGCCATGCTGCTGGTCTTCCAGGAGTGTTGCGGACCGGATGGCTGCTATGGCTTTACATGTCGCTACGCAGAAGGCAGTGGATTAGTGGTTGTCGCGGTGGAGAACTCGCAACTCTGTGTGAATGACAGGTATCGAAAGCAATCCTGCTAAAGAACACCATAAAATTAAATCTTTGCAAAAAGACATTTCCTTGGTCACTTTTTTGGGCATAGATGCTGTAAACCGTAACAACTAATCGGGGTAATTTTTGAAGTGAATCATATACCAAATAGTTATATAGTGACACTACATATCTACTTCATATTGTCTTCTCCGCAGACTTGTGGAGGTGAATGGATCACCAGTGGTCAACTCGACAGAAGAAGACCTGAATGACCTTCTTTTTCAGCTCACCAACGCTCAGATTATTGTGCTTCGCCAGCCCCCTTTGACCGTTACCTCACATCAACCCCCTCCTATCCTGCAGCACGTGGTTAACCCTAATCCCCTGCAAGCAGAGAGAGATGTGATTGCCATGGAAACTCCATCACTGTGCAGGCTAATGGCCATCTGATGAGATGACAATGGGTTTTTTTGTGGATGAACACAACAAATAGTGAGACGATCAAACTCAAAACTGATGAAAATGGTGGAAAGACTTTATTACCGGTAATTTCATCTGGATTTAATCTAGCAATTTTGGTTGATTATGTACTGACATTTCTTCTATTATGGAACGAATATTATTGCTAATTGTAGTTACAACCTAAAGGTCTTGTGATAATGTTACAGTGTTTGGTAAACTTTGTGGACTTTCCTGAAAATTCCGGAAAATATATATACTGTGTATATATGTATATAATTTTAACTGATTTATCAGGTTTGTCTACCTTTCTGATATAGTCGGACAAAAAAATCTCCGTTCAAGTTCTTTTCCTCAAGCCATGACCACTTGAACGTGTTCCTAACACTCGCATCTATTACACATATGTCAGCTTGCCTGTCTACCTGTTTGAACATTGTGCTGGGGCCGTACCTGGCCGATCACGCATGAATTAGTTTACACAAAATGCTATTCAAATATTCAACATTCAATGATTAATCTGCCTTTTGTGTGCACACGTACACCCTTTGTGACTTCCGTTCTCACCGAAATGTTGAAATCTCCGAGATATGGCGAGGCCATGAGAATGCGAGGGGAGGGGTGTTACTGTGCCTAGTGTTCGTGCCTCAACATGGCTACGCTCGTGAAAGCAAAACAACGAACTCAAACGCGTGTTCGTTCAATGTCGTCTAACTAATAAATTTTAGGCAATTTTTCCTCAATTTTCCAGAGGAAATTTCATGAAAATTTGAAAATCCAGAATTCGGGGAAAATCCGGAGGACTTTCATCTCTAATCTTTTTTTTTCCCCCCACAGTAAAAGCTGTATGACTGCTATATGTAAAGAACACCTAACTTTGTACTTTAGCTTTGGTGTGCGAACTCGGTGGTTACATTATAAGTACTTATAAAAATACACTGATACCACTGCAGCATCCGACCCGCTAGTGGGCTCTGCCGCCATTAGCCTTTCTCTAGCGCAGTAGCGTTGTCGTTCGCTGTGCACCTTTGCTAGCATCCACACGCCCTCTCCCAGCTTAGTGGCGTGTGGCATGCGGCATAGCGGCTTCCGTGGCCATTTTTTGCTGGTGGTTTGCCTTTACGTGCCTCCTCACTTATGGCGTTACGTAGCTGCTAGCATCCACGGTCCACTCCCTACTGCCTGGCTCCTTGTATGCCATCTGCACGCCTGTCATGATGGCGATGCTTTCATGAAGCATCTCTACAGTTGGTCTGACGAAGTTTCATTTTAAAACTTGTGGTACTGTCAATGAGCTGTTTTGTACCATTATTTCTCTTTCCTCACTACACTTTATTTTATAGTTAACACACGGGGGTAACATGACATCCATTCCTACTTGTGTACATTCAGTATACACGACGTTGTTCTGAGACTTATTTTGCTTCTTTGGCTGTTATCGATGTACACTACTTACACAGTGCCCCCTAGTGTTAGATTGAAACACCACACTGAAATGCCTTGTGTTACAGGCTACAATTAAAAGAAATGTAAAGCAAGACTTAGAAAAACATGCAGTTGGATGTTAAATGTCAGTACTGTAATGACAAGTTGTTTCAAAGTATTAAAACTATGTGAAACGTCTGCCAACTTCCAAAAAAGTTTGTGTTTTGAACAATAGTTTTCATTTTCATTACAATTGCAAGATGTTACGGCAATATCAGGTACAGCTACATGGTAGCAATAGCTGCACCCCTAATTGTCACACTAACATGCATTCATTATTCCCTTCGCTCTCATGTTTTCAAATTTTACAACACGCAAGAGAGCTGCGAATTAAGAATAAAACAATACAAATCCTTAACTTAATAGACTGGTGAGGGGCATGCTTGTCTAACATCTCTCTGAGTATATTCCGAAGGGTGAAATGAATCCTTGATGCTGCACAGGGGAACTCCTGGAAGTTTCAGAAAATATGTAATCTGGTTACATGCATGCCTGAATGCGGTGCACCCTATATTCTCTTTAGAGAACACACACGTACATCTTTCTTTGGAAGCTGAGTCACGTTTGACTTTTTGTATATCGTAATGCAAACCTTCGGGCTGTGAGAATAAACCCTTGGCTGCAGAAATGCCTCATTTCAACCTCGTTCTCCCTCGTTAAAAGCCAATAGATCGTGCAAGCTTGACAGTGCAAACAGTACCAGCCGCTGACCAAGGCTACTACTGGGGGTCCAATGAGCCTGAGGACAAGAAACCATTTTTTCTCATCGGCTGATGAGAAAGGTCACTGGTCACTCACCAGTATAATATAATTTGACAATAAAAAGAAATGGAGCTCGATGTCATGCGGATGGGAGGTTCTAGTTGCCAAAAAACATTCAGAAAGAGGGAGAAATATGATGCTGGCAAATTGGAGTAACTTTGGCAGATACATGGGAAAATAAAGTTGACCAGGCCACAACTTGTGAACTGACACAGATAGACCATAATGTCATACCTCGGGAAGTGTTAGCTCAGTTTGGTGAGAAGTCATCCAAAACCACAAAACAATGCAATGTCAGGATGTTCGAAAAAGTATAACGACCGACAGTGATCATAATGTTTATGGTCAAGATTAGACCCAACAGGAATGGTTCAATCTGTCCGCACAAACGGGTGATGAAGTTCAGAAAAAGTAGAATAGCACTTTTAGACACGAAGGGCAGAGGAGACTGTGTGTCATGGCTGTCTTTATGGAAATGAATTAACACTGGGGAAAATGACACACAATCCTATAAACACTGCTGCTGGCAAAAGAAGAAAGTCATGGTGACCAACATAAACCAGAAAACACAGTCAGGAGGATATAACACTCCTGCTACTCTGCCATCCACTCCTCCGACGCCAGAATGGGAAAGTGGAGGCTATGCAAGTGAGGAAGATGAGCCGTAAGACCTTGTACAGTACACCTTAGTCAGAAACATCTGTAGCACATTTAAATGAACATCAACCTCCTCTTATTCTACTGCCAAGACACCCCTGGTTGACCCAGGCTGTACCTAACACGTAGTGGCACTGCGCAACCTGTACTACATCTGGTTCGCCTTAACAGCCTCAGCAACAACATCCAGCGCACACCGATAAGCTCTGATGTGAGTTCGCTATAGCTGCATTTCTTCTCTCAAACTATCAGCCGCAGCTGCTCACTCCTGAGACCCCCCATCCCACCCTCCGTCCCCCAACCCTTTCTTCTTTCACTCCTTGTACCACCTCACTCTCATCCCGCCCCTTGACAGTTCAGGGTGCCTCACATCTGTTTGAAGTGGAAGAGAGAGCATTAGTTTTGGTTTCCTGCCCAAATCCAACACAAGCCAATAAAATGCATACAGGTCTGATTTGGGGCAAGGGAATTCCTGTCCACAAAACACTAAACGTACACGCGGTCTTAAATTAGAGTAGATGGATTGTTGAAGCAGACACTGATGTTTCTCATGCAAAGATTTACCGACAGTAGTTCTGGGCCCGTCTATAAAAACATAACTGTCTATTTACATGTACGTGTGAATGGCTATGTGTCAATATGGCCAGTCTAGAGTGTAAACCTTTATACAATTGGAATAACACCATCTCCAGAGCTGGATAGAGGATGAGCAAATTTGATGGGTCACATACAAGTTACTTGGGCACATTAGAAGCTGTTTAAATTGTGTGTGTGTTTAACCCTTTCATGCACCAATAATGATAACCTGTAACCCCCAACCCTTTCTTCTTTCACTCCTTGTACCACCTCACTCTCATCCCGCCCCTTGACAGTTCAGGGTGCCTCACATCTGTTTGAAGTGGAAGAGAGAGCATTAGTTTTGGTTTCCTGCCCAAATCCAACACAAGCCAATAAAATGCATACAGGTCTGATTTGGGGCAAGGGAATTCCTGTCCACAAAACACTAAACGTACACGCGGTCTTAAATTAGAGTAGATGGATTGTTGAAGCAGACACTGATGTTTCTCATGCAAAGATTTACCGACAGTAGTTCTGGGCCCGTCTATAAAAACATAACTGTCTATTTACATGTACGTGTGAATGGCTATGTGTCAATATGGCCAGTCTAGAGTGTAAACCTTTATAAAATTGGAATAACACCATCTCCAGAGCTGGATAGAGGATGAGCAAATTTGATGGGTCACATACAAGTTACTTGGGCACATTAGAAGCTGTTTAAATTGTGTGTGTGTTTAACCCTTTCATGCACCAATAATGATAACCTGTAACCTGATAATATGATAAGCTGTCCACTGTAGTAACTGTTTTCCCTGAAAGGGTTAAAGGACCGGTCAAAGACTTATGTAAATGAATTGTCTCACTATTCATCAAAGCAGTGAGGCTGTAACATAACCATGTTGTTTTATAAAATTCATTTAAGTAATGATTTTGTGCTGGGAAGGCGGCAGCGAGGGGCAGAGGGGGGGTTGCTGTCAAATCCCAGGGGTTTTGGATTTCATTTTGCTGCGGTGGAAGTGGGACTTCTATCCTTTCCTCTGGCAAATCTCACTCTAAGTAGCTCCACTAGGTACTTAAGAAAGTCCCAGGAGATATTTATATGTTGACCCACTCCCAGTCAGATGTACTATGATATATGACCTCTGTCCCTCCTGGATTATTCCTGCATAATGTTGAAGATCCACACAACCTGATGATATACTGCCATCTACTGGCACAATGCGCAGCCCCCCCCCCCCTAAAAAGACCACTGGCGTTCATTATGAAGGAACTCTAATTCGTCTAATTTTAGAACCTCATAAATATGTTGATCTATTTGAGTAGTTCCAGTAGTCAAATTGACCGAAATTAATTACATAGAAAAGAATTGTGATGTAAAAGTCAGAAAAGTTTCAGGACAAGTGCACCAAAAATATTACTGCTCCAAAAACTAAAGGCCCCATGACTACATGTCTGATCACAAAGCCCTGAGCATCGAACTGTTCCTCACCGAGACAAACATCAAGCTTCTGCATCAACCTCCCTTTCACCCGACCTTGCTTCGTGTGATATTTTTTCCCTTTTGCCAAGATTGAGGGGGGTCATCAACTGGCCCAGTTTTCAAGACGGTGATGAAATCGAGATGCGAGCCGGAGCGAATCCTTCGAGAAATGCATAAAGGCGTGGAAAAGAAGGATGAAAATGCGTGTTTGACTCAGAGGGGATTACTTTGAAGGGGGAAACCTTTTTGACACTATTCCTGGATCTTTTTCTGACACTTATCATACATTTTGTGCAATCAACATATGTTTGCAGCAGGTGGAGATTATTGCAAAGAATGTAACCACATAATCAAATACAGTGTACGTAACAAAATAAACATATACAATTAGCATCTTATTTGTTTTTC